TTGTGCTCTAAATACAAATGTAAGTTACTGATTTCTGTACATGAGAATGTCAGTTTTTTAGTTAATGTTCTCTTGATCAATTACTTTAACTAATGTCAGCGTAATTCTGCCTCCAAAAATGCAAGTTTTGGAAAATTCCTTATGAATTTCAATGATAACGTTTATATTTAATTATATATTTTCCAAATCTACAAAAATAATGTTAAAAAGTTTCCAATTTCACAAATGATCAGACTATTTTAGCAAACAAGTGATTATTCCAAATCAAACTATATCTATACTTCATTCTTTTTTTCTTTATTTCTTAATTATACCGTAACTTTTTTGATCATTTAATGTTTGATTCAGGTGAAGAAAGAGACAAAAGTTGGCTTTACTTTACATTTATTTACAAAACCCAGGTCAACAAATAAAGTGATGAGTGACAAATTTGACTTACATCAACATTTATTGTTACAGTAAACAGCCTTTCACAGAATGATTATAAAAAAATAATAAAATCCAAATTTAAAGCAATTCATTTGTATAAATAAAGAAAATGTCAAAAATAAAACTACTCCAAACAGCTTAGCTACAAAAAAAAAATGGCTTCAAAGGTTAAGATTGTGAACTAAAGATAATAATAAAAAATAAAAAAGGAGGCAGGTATGTTGGAGCGTTCCTAACTGGTGTCCATCTGAAACTAAAAGTGAAAAATATTCAGTTAAAGAAGTCTTCAGTGAAAAGTCTGAAAACAGAAGCTGCTTACCTGAGCGTTGTACGCATCGAGCTGAGCATCGAGCTCCTCTGCAGAAAGCTGCGGTTTGTTTCCTCCTCCTCCTCYTCCTCYTCCTCGACCTCTGAAACCTCCACCCCGTCTCCGCTCAAACCTGGGCTCACCCAGTCTGCTGCGGTCGAAGCCTCTGTTGGAACTGATGAAGACAAAAATTAACGAAACCCTGAACAGCTCAGATTAGATCCCCACTAACCCAGGATCACTCACCTGTGTGTGCTGACCTCTAGTGTTACTGGTTGGATTTTCATGGGACGACCTGAAACACAAAATCATTCCRTTTATCTGAGAACTTTGTTTAAAAGTWCTGATTGTTTAGAGAGCAGCTGGCTCACCATCAAGCGGGACACCGTTATAGTGCTTCATGGCTTTCAGAGCATCTGCCTTATTTACAAAATGAACATCTGCACTTCCTTTGCTGCGACCCGACCGGTCATAATGAACCGACACCGTCTGTAAGTCACCGAACTCTGAGAACAGCTCCTGGAGGCAGAAACAACCAGAGGCGTAAGCAGATTAAAGTGTGAGGAAAGAGTTTGAGTTTGTTTTTAGAAAATACCTTAATGTCTGAATCAGACACGCCAAAGTCCAGATTGGAAACCAGGAGCTTGCCGCTACTTTCTGTGGCAGCGCTTCTTCCTGACGCTAAGCTTCGACCACCGTTGTGCTCYTCAAACATGTCGTGCTGCCATTTGTCTGGAAGCTCTCTGGGCTGAGGAGAAAACAAAGATTTATAAAAACTGAACACAAAACACGTTGTTGCATTTGAGCGCCGAGGCCCCAAACAACAGGATGTGACCCTAACTCAAATAAAAAATAAAAAAACAGAAAGTAGGGCTTTATAGAACTTCATAAAGAACTTCAGCTGTTAGCTAAAGAACTTCAGCTGTTAGCTAAAGACTTCAGCTGTTGGCTAAAGACTTCAGCTGTTAGCTAAAGAACTTCAGCTGTTGGCTAAAGAACTTCAGCTGTTGGCTAAAGACTTCAGCTAACAGGTGAGGTCTTTAGCTAACAGGTGAGGTCTTTAGCTAAAGACTTCAGCTGTTGGCTAAAGACTTCAGCTAACAGGTGAGGTTATTTAGCTCTGCTGAAAAAGACGCCAGGAGTAACCAGAACTCGTCTGTTCAGTCTGTTCCTGTTCCTACCCGGGTGTACGGAGCAGGTCTGTTGTTCCAGTCTCGGCTGAAGTTCTGTCGGTTTCGCTCCGGTTGCCTCGACGATCCTCCGGCTCGGCCTGAACCTCCACCCCGCCTGAACCCTCCGCCGCCGCGGCCTTCCTTCTTATTCATCCTGATGATGTCGTCCAGAGACATGCTCATCTTATCCGCCATGACGCCGTTTAAACCTTTATGAACCGTGAGTGAAGGCGGAAAAATGAAATAAAACAAACTTCCAGCGTAATGAAGCGRCTGCTAATCACGATGGCGCGATGTTGAAATTAGCGGAAATTGCGTCATAAGTTCTTCTTTGGTGTTTTCATGGCTGTCAGCAAAAACAAAACAACCAGTAATGTGTCGGCGCCACCTGCTGGACGTTTGAAGAACGACGGAAACATTAACATATTTTTGTATTTAAGGATAATAATATTTGTTGTAATTGTTGTTAATCTGTTAGCAAAATAACTTATTAACCACAAGACAGATTTTTTGTTAAATTTTCAATATTACTAAATAAAGAAAATAATATATCATGCAATCGTTCAGGACATTATTTTCCAAGACATGATCAAAATAGACAAAACATCAGGTTTTAAGATAATTTTATTTATTTATTTACTTATGTCTTGCAATCAACTTCTAAGTTGTTTGTGCTGTTAAAAATATTTAATTTATTTGGTGAAATTCTTTAAAAAGGAAAACATTCATAAAATTATATTAGGATTGTATTTTTAAAAATAAATAATCATTGTAAGTTTTTAGTGTCAGATTATAACAAAATAAAACACTCTGTTTGGACAAGATAAAAACAGAAACACATTTAGGAGAAACTATGAACATTTTTATTACATCTATGCTACGGGCATCCGTCAAACCAAACAACTGTTGAAGGAATCGTTCCCACCGTGTTTCTGACTCGCCTCATGGCTCTAAATGTTTTTCTACATCAGGTAAACTCTAACCAGGTGCRGCTCCGCAAAGACAGATGATAAAAGCACAGCCGAAACATCGGGCCGGCGTGGACGACGGGGGGTTTGAGCAGAACCGGGTCCTCTCTGCGAGTCCTGAAGATGTCCACCTGAGGACGCTGCAACAGAGGACATGAGASGATGTGGACAACTGGAGTCAGACACCAGCTGAGCAGCTAAAATTACAACCAGTCACAGTTAAAGCCTCACTGAACATCAGCTGAAGAGTCTGACTACGTTCCAGATAAGACAAAAAAACAGCTAAAAGTCAGTCTGACCGACAGCTAAAGTTCATAAATCAGCCGAAATTAAACAGTTAAATGTCAACGTATCCAAACAAAAAGTAAAGTCAACAAAACAACRGAAGTTAGCAAAACAGTAATTAGAAGCCGAAACTAGTCAAACAGTAACCAAAAGTTAAACTTAGCGAAATATATGCTAAAAGCAAAAGCCAGCTAAAATGAGCTAAACCGTAGCTTACAACTACATTTAAAAAAGCTAAAAGGTCAAATTAACACAACAGTAGCTAAAGGCTAATAAGGGTCCTATTAGTAGTCGAATGTTAAACCAGCAGAACAAAAGCTAAAGGCTCACATAAGCAAAGATTTTAGGTAAATGCCAAAACTAGCCAACGAGTAGCTAAAACTTAAAACTAGCCAAACAGTAACTGAAACCTAAATTGGGCAAACGAAAAGCTAAAAGTGAACACTAGCTAAAATGAACTAAATATTAGCTAAAACGTAAAACTAGTAAAAAAAAAAGGTAGCTAAAATTCTGAGAATTTAAAGTAGATAGTTTAAAATAGCCAAACAGTAGATACAAGCAAAAACTAGCCCAAACAAGCTAAAATACATAASTGGGAAAACAGCAGCTAAATTCTAAAATTAAAGTAGCTAAAAATGGGAGAACAAAAGGTAAAAGCTAAAATCACCCAAACTAAAAGAATCAGGATCACTGTAATGATCCCCGGGGGGGAAACTGCTATTAATTAAGCTAATTATTAATTAAAAGCTAAAGTTAGCAGCTATGTAACGAAAACTAAAAATTTGCAAAAAATTAGCCAAAGRCTAAAATTAGCAGAACAGAAGCTAAAAAAAAATGAAGCCAATATGCTGAAAACACAAAGATTTTTAAGGATCTGAAAAAAATTCAGCTCATTTCACTGAAAAACAAAAATGATGAATTTCTTTCAGTTATTTCTGCAGATGATCCGGGTCTAACTGGACCTGCTGGTAGAACTGATCCGGGTCTAACTGGACCTGCTGGTAGAACTGATCCAGGTCTAACTGGACCTGCTGGTAGAAATGATCCAGGTCTAACTGGACCTGCTGGTAGAAATGATCCGGGTCTAACTGGACCTGCTGGTAGAACTGATCCGGGCCTAACTGGACCTGCTGGTAGAACTGATCTGGGTCTAACCGGACCTGCGGAGACCCCCCCACCTGCTCACTGGTAGAACTTGATCTCTGTGTCCACGCAGTCCAAGAACAGGTCTCCCAGCTCGTCTCCTGGGACGTCCCCGCTGAGCATAGCTGAAATCTCAGTGAGACACTGGGACTCCAGGTCCCTCAGGATGCTGTAAACAGCCGAAGCTTCCTCCTGCAGCAGAAACACGGCCCAGAGACGTTCAGGAACCAGAGCATCCGGGTCAAACATCAGTTAATTAGACAGCTGTGACTAACAGCTATAATGAGCTCGACTAACTATAAACTGGCTGAAAGCTAAAACACAGGCTGCACAGCAAGCAGCCGAAGGTTCAACAAACAAGCTATTTTAGCTGATTGTGTCTGGGACTGGACCTGTAATCACTGAGGTTGGACACAGAGACACACACCCGTTCGGTCTCCATGGTGATGAGCGCCCCCTGGTGGGCCTTGTACAGGTCGTGTCTGCGGTCCACCCGGGTCTGGAACCTCGGCTGTTTCCTGGCCGGGTCCTCCGGTCCGAACTGTGGGGAGACAACGCTCAGGACCGGAGCGGAGTGGTCCGAGAAGATGAAGGGTTTGAAGACAGACCTGAGCAGGTGTGGACAGGACGGTGGACAGGACGGTGGGGGACATGGAGGACAGGATTGTGGACACAAAAAGTTACCATCGACACTAAGACCCGAGGACCCGTTGATGGTCTTACACAAACCTGGAGGGGTCCGGGGTCGCAGTGAAGAAGTGGATGCAAGGCAGGCTGGGGTYTGTGGGCAGGACAGAGACCATGCTGCCTGTGGTGCGGAACCCTCCAGAGTCCATGCAGACACCGCTGGGTTTGTCCCTCAGGATGGACATCATCACCTCAGCTGTGACCGAGCCTGAGACACAAAGACCAGGTCTTACTGAACCTGAGACACAAAGACCAGGTCTTACTGAACCTGAGACACAAAGACCAGGTCTTACTGAACCTGAGACACAAAGACCAGGTCTTACTGAACCTGAGACA